AGCGGGTTCAGCCATATGGAACAAGTAGGATCTTATACATGTATGTTGATGACTGAGGTGGCTTTTTCTTTGGTGGCTGGATTAAAATCAGCTGTGGTGTTGGGTGGGGCTGTGGCGGGCCACGTGTGATGGTACATTGATTTAAGGGTGAATGTTGATCCAGGGGAAGCGTGTGGGTTGAGGCATTACGGGAGGCACTTCCGGGTGTATTCTGAGGTGACAGGGGAATGTTCTGGATGTTACATAAAATGTTTTTAGATGTACTCTGTATTGAAGTTCCGGGTGGCATGCGATGTGGCTGCCCCCAGCCACAATTCAAGCTGAGTTGCGGTCGGTGAACCAAAGAGGCCGCCTCGCTCAGCAAGCTTGAAAACTGTCTAGTCGGGCAAACCATCCCTTCGGGGAAGGAGCTCTGAATCCGTGTGTACATTGCGATTCTCGGCAGGCTTGCAGCCTTGCGAGGGAGTCCAGTTTGGTTCCCGTCGCTCATACGCCTTCACACAATTCCTGCGGCACATTGGAGGGTCTGGCCATGTCTTGGCCACGATCTGAAAGATACGAATTTTGTCAATGTCTTGACATGTGGTAGGCTCAGGAGCCCGGTAAGGCAGAAAACCCATCATCACTAGTCAGGAAGCACAGGCAAGGCACGGAAGTTGTTACACATGTAGCGGTGCAGCGACTCGGCATCCTTGCCGAGGGAAGCCACACACGCGCACACCCATAAGGGCAGCCATACAAAACAACCCAGCCAAACAATGGAACTGTAGGTGTGTGTCAAGCGGGTTGGGTCGTCACATCTTGTCTGAGCTCACAGTAAAATGCTTGGACCCAGGTCGGGTACTAAGTTTCGACTGAGGAATCCAGTGCGAATCAGCTGTCATGCAAAATATTTGTCCCCAGCTGCGAATCCAGGGAATGTCCAACGACGATCAACAGCCAGCCTGCCCCCTTCAGCGCTGCACCCCCATGTCGTGCTCTGAATCCTGCGTGGTCTCTTCAACACGCATGACCTCCTGCAAATGTTTCCCATCATTGATTCCAACAAAATTCCCATTCCCCAATGATTCTGTCTGGTTTCCCTGCTAGGTAATCTTCTCAGTATTTCACAATGCTACACCTGTTGCTGGACTGTTGACTTCTTGTTCACCACATCTGCTCCTGCTAATCCGTGCTCAAGTCGTCTCAAAATGTGCATACCCTACTGCAAGAAAATCTTATGGCTTTGTAACCAATGCATATCCACACACAGTATTAAGTGACTGGATACACCACAAGCAAACAAATCAAGAATCCCATCAATAAATCAGCGCATGGTGCCTGCAGCCATGAAACCAAGCGTGGGCCAGACATGGGCCATGAACTTTCTCTTTCAAGCACTGCACCAAAATCCTGCGCACCCTTCAATAGAAAATAAAGACAACATGGTAGTCGTGCAATGAGCAGACCTTGTCTTCTCAACCAGCGCCATGGCGTATCAGCCATCACAACCCCAACAGCATCTTCATCTGCCCAACTCACCCACAATTCTATCTTCATAATTGCATGCACAGAAGACATGCCACATCTCAATAACCCCACTCACTCCCGTTCTTGTTTTCTCTTTTCGCCAAGCTTGAACAGTTCCGCAACATAGTCCAGGGTAGGGCGTGATGAAGTGGCCGATGGGGCTCCCGACGGGGCTCCAACACTCCCTGCTGTGTCGCTTTCGCTGGGTGTAGACGGAACCTTTACATGATCAGAACCTCCTGCAGCAGTGCGACCTCCAGAACCTGGCGGATGTCGGCCTTCAACCTTCCGAACAGGGGGGTTCTTCCGCTCCCCATGGCCCAAAGCTGCAGGAAGGAGGCCGACAGCTACAGTGGGAGCAGCAGCTGCAGCTCTAGTGGGGGTATGCACGTGTGCAGCTGCTTCCTCCTCAGGGTCCTCCTGCATCATGTAGTCTGCCATCTGACGCTCTCTCGCCAGGTAAGCCTTCTGTTTCATGTCAAGCAACTTGACCATGGGCATGGACGTGCGAGCCAGTGAGGGACGTGAAGAGTCGTTGGACTTGGGAGACTCTGGTTCAGCCTGCGTATCTTGCTCGTTCAGCCTCCCATCAGACTTTGACTTCCTGAGCGGCGATCCACCGTCCCCTTTGGATGTGGACAATTCTTCAATGTCCTGCAGTCCGGCTGCAGAGCCACTCCCCAGCGACAGGGTCCTTGGAGTTGTGCCCCTGTTTAACCCAGGTACCCCATTTGGGACACGAGAAGATCTTGAAGAATCTGAAGCCCTGTCCCTGGACTCACTGGGATCTGGCTGTGGGGCTGTGCTTTCCTTTTTACTGGGCAGGCCAATCAGTGGGAGGGATATTCTACCCAGCAGTGGCTTGGACTTCCTGCCAAGGGCAGGTGGGCCAGGCTCCCCGGGGGGAGGCGACGGTGTTGTCCTGTCCTGCGACATGTCGCTCACTTTGTCCAGCTCCTTCCTCTTGGTCTTCAACATGCCAGCAACCAGCATTCCAAGGGCACCCGAAGAGGGTGGCGCTTTTGATTCTTCCTCATCCACTGCTTTGACCTCCCTGGCAGTCTGCAGATGCACAACTGTAGATCAGCAACAGCCAAGCCCTGACCTGAAACACTGCTTTGCAGACTCTCTGCAGAGTATCAGCATCACCACGGCAGGCAAGGAGTACAGGGGCAGGCAAGCAGCACAGGGCCAGCCCACAACCACGGGAGGCTCTGAGAAGTGCAGATCGAGGCTCGTCTGAATACAACTTGCACAGCATTTTCAGTCCAGGAAAGTCACCATGAGATACCCAAAACAACAGCCGTGCCCCACACAGGAAAGACAACAAAAGAAATCGATTGCACAAAGACAGCTGCATTGAATTGTACTTTGGCAGCAGAATGTCAAGAGCTGCCCACACAGCTTGCTTGCAGAGGGCCTACAATGCAATATGGCCATCATCTCCAACAGCCTGCATGTTTTCCCCTTCAAGCTCTTCCACAGGCAAAAGTAAGCCTGGTGAGGGGCCTTTATATACACCCTCTGGCTTGAGTGTCGCTGCACTGTATGTCCAAACTGCATCACCACAAGACACTGGCCCTGGCTGTGTCAGCCACCACCTTACCTCCTCCAGTTCAGCCCAATGCAGTGGGAAGCTGGAAACTTTGGCCCCATCTGCACTTGGGTTGGATGATGCTCCAATGGAGACTCTTTGCAGGCCCACTGACGTCCTATTCAACCCCATCGATGGCGTATTCAGTCCCATCGATGGCCTGTCTAATCCTGCAGACGTCCTGTTAAGGCCCAACGATGGTCTGTTCAATCCTGTTGATGGCCTGTTGAGCCCTGCTGACGTTCTTGCCAGGTTTGCTGATGTTCTCCTCAGACTCATAGAGGCTTTTTCCAATGCCCTGGACAGCAGAAGATAGTCACGGAGTGTCACGTCAAGGTCTCTTCCAAGCTACCACTGTGAAACAGTCTACCCCCCCACACATGGGAATGTCCTGAAACCTATTCACTTGTCAATCCATCAATGCACTGGAATTGCATGGGTGTGCCACAGCCAGTGCACCAACGCCATGCACTTCAGACTTCAGTTTGCACCAGTTGAAGCAAAGTGGACTCAGAGTGGCAAGTGCCACAGTGATGCTGCAGGGGGGGTGCACATTGAAATTGGCAACATCTGTGCCTGTTCCTATTTTAAGAGTTTTCTACCGGAGTTCATCTACTTTCACCCCTGCGCCTGGCTCAGGGTTGATGAAGAGAGGCACAGAGAAGCAACCATTCCCAACATTATCATTAGTGAATAGATGTTGACCCACTTGCCACATGCACTGAAGTCACCAACCATCAGCTATGGAAAGTTGCAAATGCAGAGCCAGAAAGAAACATACTGGCTTCTGGCTCAATCGCATAGTAAGTTTCAGGGCAATCAGGTGGTCCAATTACCTCACTGCCGCCGGCTTCACCTTCTTCTTCCCTGCCTTTTTCAGCACTTTCGACGGGCAATGTGATCCAGTGACCATGGTCAGCCAGTAAACGGGGAGAATGAGGATGGATGTGAGAAGCATCACAAAGATGCCCACAAACACCAGCCAATGAATATCCCAGGATGATCGTATGATGAATTGCTCATCGTCGGGGTCCACTTGCCACAGGTTGAACAGCAGAATGGCCATGTGCAAAGACGTCACAAAGTACATGTACTGGAAAACAATGAGCATAAGACGTGGTCGTCTGAAGGGGAAGAGATGGGCGGAGTCTTCTGGCATGTACCTACAGCACCACCATCTAACTGTCAGGAACAGGAGATGAATGAGCAGTACACCAATCCACAAATTCTTGATGGCAAGATTTATTGTCAAAGGGATTGATGACTCCAAATTGCCAAAGATCTGAAAAGCAACAGAAAGTTCGCTTGTTCCAACATAAGAAACACCAAGATCGCATAGGCAGACCGGCACCACTCACGAGTCTGAAAAGGTGTTCCTGCGCATGCTCCTCAGCTGGGCTGTGTATGCTGAGTCGTTGAAGCAGCATCCCACCAACCAATCAAGGCATCCAACAGGTGGTTGAGAGGCAGCAGCAGCGGCAGCACGATTCTTGTCAGAAACCAGCCTGTCATAGACGTTGTTGCCCATCCTGGCCTGCTGCCTTGCATCAGGATTCAAATCAGACGATGCGAATGACACAGGATCACCGTTTGTCATCCGCGTTCCCTGTGGTGCTGTATACGCAGCATTTTTTACTTCTGCACCTGAAATTTCTGGACTGCCACTGCGATTGACTGAGATCACAGAATCGTGACCAGCACCTGATTCGTTTGAACCCCTTGTGGGGCCTGCAGCCGGCACATCATAGGCTCCTTCCCACCCCTCAGCAACTGGCCCCCCTGTGTGTCCGAGGTGTGGTCTCTTGAGGAGTCGAAAGATGGTTCTTCGGTTGGATGATTAAGCTCATGGAAAGCCTCTTCAAGTTCCTTGTGAACACATTGCCTTGAGACTGAGCACCTGGAGGGGGTTTGTCAGAGTAGTACATGTAGGCCTCATTTCCCAGCTTCAGAGCAATGTACTCAAGCTTGGTGCCCGCCAGGAGGGTCATGAACACACCAATACCTGTCATTATGTACACAACGATGACATCGGTCCCAATCCAAATTGCAGCTACAGCCCACATCACCCAGTCGATCTTCACCACCTTGGAGAATTCCTCTTCCATCGAGTTCACAAGAAACTCGTGAAAGCGGAAACTGCTGTCCAGCTCCATACGCTCTATGAACAGACGCCTCAGTCCCAGGTACATGGATTCGTCAATGTGCTGGTGGAACTGGGCAAAAAATGCTTGGAGGTAGTGGAGGCAACAGCAGTCTTGATTAAGCACGTTCCCAACCTCGACCCTCTTCAGGTTCTGCATGGCCTTCTCTTCCCACTGCTTCCATTGGTGCACCTGGTCAACACACGATCTGAGGGTCAACAGTCAACATGTCGAATATTACAGCTGGCGCTCAGCCTGTGCCGGGTGGCCTGCCTGCGAGATCAGCAGGCTGGACAGTGTGACAGTGCAAAAGCTCCACCCTTCCTGTCAATGGGCAACAAATGATACAAACATGTAAAACAAGGAGCACAACCGCACCTTCCAAGAGCAAACAACCATGGAGACGCCCGCAAAGACGATGTGCACTGAAGCAAGCACAAAAATGAAGAGGTGCGTCTCGTGGAGTGCCCGAATGGACCAAAAGGACTCCTCCCCACTTGGACACACGTCTCCTCCCCCTCCAGCCGCAAGCAATGTCCTCATCGCCAAGCCAAGAAGTCTCCTGTTGCCAATGTCATCTGGATTCAGCACTGCATCTGTTGGAAGGCCCTCGTCCTCTGAGGGTGGTGCTGCAGGAAGTTCGACAAAGGGTGACTCTTCCGGACTTGGAGGACCATCGCTGGCATTGGTCGTGGTCCCGTTCAGCTCTGCTGCAAGAACGGGGGCCAAGGCTTCATCCTCACTGCTGGGCTCTTCAACGGCGTCCTTCGACTTTGCTTTGGTTTCCGCCTTTTTCGTCCCTCCCTTTTCTTTCCCTTTCTTGCTGCCGCTGGAGTCAACACAGATTTGGACAAGGTACTCCTGCAACAAGGAATTCATTGGGTCGGGGCATGACAAACACTCTTCATGACACAGCCAAACGGCCTCCTTGGCGCGTTGTTCCAACAAAGACTCGCGCAACAGACAGTCACGAGGCGAGACTATCATTTTTCGACACCTTTGCATACCTGACGCCAAGACTCCTGGGTCACTACAGATGTTCTCCATTTCTGACATCGTCTCGCGCGAAAAACAGTCATTCGAAATAAAAACTGGCGCCTCCTGCACGGTGCTCGCGCCCGCCGCGCGACACGATCGCTTTTCCTTTCCTGACTCAACTACTGTATCTCAAACTACCGCTGTACTTCATGACGTTTGGCCCTGAAGTCGTCCCGAAGGAAGCCTCAAAGCGAGAGAGTCGGCGATTGCCGCTGAATGCGGTTCGCGCACAGGCAGCCGACAAATGCCATTCCGTTTTGTGTCCGAAACACCACCGACAGAATACTAACGGCAACTTGCGTGCTGCGCACGGCCATTCGCGGCTGACGGTTTCGAATGTGCGCGTAGCAGCACGGGCAACGCAGATGGCAAAACACACAAGCGCAGCCCCACAGACACTGCCGACAGCGCACAGCTACTCCAACAGGCCATCATGGGCACACGCCCGGCTGCCCAACACTGGGACGGGCCCGCGCATTGCACGATGGACCCCCAGGACCAGAAGCACAGAAAGGGAGGTGCTCCCCGTGGGCCGACTTGGAACGCCCCAGAGGTCAACATGGCACACGGCCCCAGCCATCCATATCAGTCCTTGCGGGCGTCGACGACTATCACAGCTGTCAACTTGGCGCCGCCCAACGTCGTCATCGCCAGCTTACCTCTATCGCGATCAGCATCAGCGTAACCAACCCCAGGGCGAGGAGCTCTTCCTGCAGCTTGTGGATTGTATGCACCAACCCGCGTCGATTCTTCTTCTTCAGGTAGTGGTCCAGCCAATGCGTGGCCTTCTCGTATGAATACGTCAACAGAACGAAGCCAAGAAACAGGACCACGATCCGATACTCT